ATATTAACACAATTTTGCTTTACACATTTTGCAGAAATAGATTTCTTCAAATATTAGTGGGAAAGAAGGGCCAACACAACAAACTGATCTGGCATGGAATGACACCCATTCCTATAATGTGTATAAAATATTTTGCCAGCTTTTAAGTAGTTAAAAGGCTGCTTCTGTATCTACAAAAAAGCATAGTATTTTTCCCTGCATGCATGTGCATACACACACATTTGAGATAGCATTTAGGGTTCCTTCTTACTCTCCTGGAGGGGATGTTGTCTTGCTCCTTTCTCTCTGATCTGCTGCCTAGCTTTGGTTCTTTTTGCTGTTATAATAGTGTGTCAGAAAAGTTATTTCTTTCCTGGCTGCACCAACTAACAATCCAGAGTCAAGCAACCAATCTACCTTCTTCTGAGAGGGGAAAAAAAAAAAAAAAGAAAAAAAAGAAACCCAACAAAACCCACAATAAAAAACCAACACCACAGCCCTGCTAGGCAGGGATTTTACAGAGCAAAAGACCCGCAGGACAGAACTATGGTGCGCTCTGGTCTGTCAGGGTCTTACTGTGAAAAGAGCAAGACCACAGACTCAAGGAAGTGGAAGACAAAAAACAATATGCAGAGAAGGGAGAATAAAGCATTCTCAGGAAGCTTATCAGTCAAAGGTAAGAGGACAGACGTGACGGGTTGATTCAGTGGCAATTAGGTTATCTTTTCTGAGAATCATACTGAACAAGCCTGCTCTCTTCCAGATTTGTAAACTCCCTGACAAAAGGCATAGGGTGGTATTTACAGTAGCTGGTATTAACTAAGAATGCCGATTATTTTCTGCAAAGATACAGAACACCTTTCTCATCCCAGTTTGCACGGTGTCTGCTCCAAGTCAGAGCTGCGTTTAAAATACTGACAGAGTGACTCACTTACAGATTATAATGGACTTTTATGGTGCCAGAAATTATCTTGAGAATACAAGGAAAATAAATCTATTCCTACCACAATAAATAACTTAGAGCTTATTGACTCAATGAATGCCAAAGTAATCAAATAACATTTTTTCCATCTGCTTCATTTAAAGTGAATTTTGAGACAAAAAAGCTTGCTTTCTTTTTAATTTACATTCAATTTCAGGTTGTGGGTAAAAGCCAATATGAAGATGCTGCAGTTATTCAACAATGGGTCATCAGGAAATTTAAGAATTACGATCACATTCAATAGAAATGCAAACAAAACTGGATCCATGGGCACTATAGCACTTTGCTTATTGCTCGGGATCACTGAAAGTTAAATCAGTTGGAAGCATGTGATCTTTCTGGGCAGGAGAAATATATAGGGAAGCACAGAAGCTGGGAGGTGAAATGGCTAAGTATGATGAAGGAAAAGGCAAGGACATGTCAAAAATCAGCAGAGCTTAGAAGAGACAGCAGGTACAAGAAGAGACCCAGCCACTTCATTTAAGAATACGTAGGAAGCCCAAATCCCTCATTACGTCGGAAATCATGGGCCAGGCTCTTCTAAGAACAAAGAACATTTGAGACTGTGAAAGTGGGCCTGGAAGCTCCATAATCTCCAGAAAAATGCGAGCACCTAGTCTGGGCTGAGATGTCCCACGGCACCATGCCAAGGCAGCAGCCCACACGTGACCAGAGATGAAACCCCCCCTCACAGATCAGACGCTGGCTTTCAGACATGGCCCAGCTTTCTTCTCTCACACCCTGCTCCATCCTTCTCCCCCTCCATACTCAGGGGAGATAACAGAACAAGTTGCAAGCATGCAGGAGATGGGGAAATAACCATAAGAAAAGGTGGTTTGAGAAAGGAACCAGACATTTATAGAAAACGCAGAACAGGGCAGAAACATAATCTAATTTTAAGATGTAAGGACGTGTATTTCCCCATTTAATGAACCTGACCCTGCCTGCTGAAGTAGGATTTTCTCTGGCTAGAAGAAAGAAGCCAGAAGAGTCTTCTGAGAGCTGCAGGGGAGCTAAGCAGGACACCAGTGGCACATGCAGTTATACTGTTGTTTCCTGAAATGCAAGCTATATGGAGTGTGTTGCCGCACTGTTGCTCTACAGTGCATCAGGTTTTAAGATAACTTTGTATTTTTTAGTATTTGGGAAGCTATTCTCATGGGGCAAAAACTACTCACACTCAGGAGGTTATTTGCTCCTTCTAGATACTTAAGTCTGTTGTCCAGCTGATTCTGTCCTGCTCCCAGCAACGATCACATCTTGTCTAGCACATCATGATAGAAAATTGGACGAGTCTTACAAATGTTCTTGAGGATGTTTTTTTTACATCTAAAAATATATCTATCAATTATTTAGCCACATGGTAAGTAAGAACACTCCATATTCAACGTGTTTTAGGTTAGGGAAGGACACCCACCCTGCTCCTACGTAAAAGAGGGTTGAGCTCCTGCGTCACATGCAAAGGTCAGGCCAGCTTTCAATAGACACACAATCAATGCATCTACTGGGTTGAATTCTCAAGTTCCAAAGGACTATGCAACATTCAGGCAAGCTGACAATTCTTATGCACAGATTGATGCAGGCAGAGTTCATTTTTCAAAAGTACTTCTACATGAAATGTCTATTTTCTATTTGTCCATGTAAATAATTAGATATTCATAGATGTCAGATACTTGGAGGCAGTAGATTAGCAAAAGTACATGCAGTGCCACAAGCTTTATTGAATTAATAGAAAATTCTTAAATACATTAACCACACACTGCTATTAAATATTTAACATCAATTCTAATGACTGTTTTCATCCCATGAATGATTAAATTAATCCTTATGTGATATTAATTGTTCAAACCAAGGGCCTTCAATTAATTGTTGTACAAGGTCACTTTCTAGCAAGATGCAGGCTGTTAACAGGCAACAGAAAAAGGGCAGCTGCAGTTCTACTCTTTACTATGTCTGGTCTACTATATGGAGCTGGTCCTCTGGGGAAGAACCTGGCTACAAGAGTTTGGGGATGTAAAGGCATTTACCCATACATCCCATTACTTAGAAGGATCCATCAAACCAGCCTCTCTCCAGCAACAGCAAAGCCCAGGGCCCACAGCCAGGGAAGTAATTTCAGCAAAACCCACATTCATTCCTTGGGCACTTCATATCAGACTGTTTGAGCTTTTGACACTAGGGATTCTGCATACCATTTGAGTATGGTTTAGTCAAGTATTAGTTTCTCCAACAACATTTCTTATTGGTAGGTTTACAAATCAATTGTACCCTTCTGACTACTTAAAAACAAAGTGCTTTATTCTTTACATACACTCTTTTTAAGAAAATGGAGGACACATTTGGTGTTACCTAGGGTACCACTGCCAGAATACTTTCATACAGCTTTGTACATGTTCCAGCTAAACAACACATTTGGATTTCCTAGGCAATCGGCTAATGTCCATGTTTTGTTGAAGATAGTTCTAAGATAACATAATAACAGTATACAGACAAATTAATTCTACTCAAAAAAGGTAAACAGCAATTAACATTTGCTAATGTTAGCCATTTTGTAGAGATCCTATAATCAGCCTAATGGATAAACAGCCTGCAAAGTGTAATATGCACGTCTTATAGGATTTGAAATAGAGGATAAAACATTTATTTAAATTATGAGACTTGAATTTCATGATTGTTGCTGCCCGAAGTAGATAAGACACTCATAAGAGATATCAATGAGCTTTCATCCACCGTATGTTAAAAGCAGTGTTTCAGAAATCTAATTTTGCAGACCATCAGATACAGTATATCCTAGGTTATTTTTCCATCCACATTTTCAGAAGCATAAAAAAAATGCAGAATATGAGCCAGCAGTGTGCCCAGGTGGCCAAGAAGGCCAATGGCATCCTGGCTTGTATCAGGAATAGTGTGGCCAGCAGGAGCAGGGAAGTGATCATGCCCCCATACTCGGTGCTGGTGAGGCCACACCTTGAATACTGTGTTCAGTTTTGGGCCCCTCACTACAAGAAAGATGTTGCATTGCTGGAACAGGTCCAGAGGAGAGCAACAAAGCTGGGGAGGGGTCTGGAGCACAAGTCTTATGAGGAGCAGCTGAGGGAACTGGGGTTGTTTAGTCTGGAGAAGAGGAGACTGAGGGGACACCTTAATCGCCCTCTACAGCTGCCTGACAGGAGGGGGGAAGCCAGGGGGGGGCCGGCCTCTTCTCCCTGGTAACGGGCGATAGGATGACGGGAAATGGTTTGAAGTTGTGCCAGGGCAGGTTTAGGCTAGACATTAGGAAAAACTTCTTCACCGAAAGGGTTGTCAGGCTCGGGAATGGGCTGCCCAGGGAGGTGGTCGAGTCCTCATCCCTGGAGGTATTTAAAAGAAGGATAGATGAGGTGGTTAGGGACATGGTTTAGTGGTGGGATGGCAGGGTTAGGTTAAAGGTTGGAGTCGATGATCTCAGAGGTCTTTTCCAACCAAAGTGATTCTATGATTCTATGAGATAAGCAGAAATTAGTAAAAATATTTTTCATCCACCAACACAGCATTGAAAAGCACTATCAAAGAAATTAGGTATCAAGCACACAAACCTCTGGTGCATTTTCAAAGGCTACTGGCAGCACCTGTCTCCATCTATTCTCCTCCTCTTAAAATGTCATTAAAAAGTCATAAAAATTATATTCAACACATGATATTTACAGAACTTCGCCTAACTTAGTTACATTTAAAAACCCAGCATTTTCTTACTTGTGTTGATATTACAAGGTAATCTAGGTAACTTTGAACACATTTTGTGTTCCTGTCACACATGAGGGTGCAAACAGGTTGAAGACTCAATGTTTGATTTCACTTTCAAGCATCAGAAGCTTTAGACCAACATTCTGAGGGGCACACTTTTTCGTAACTGACCAAAGTTATTGGCTTCACAGAGATTTAAGTACTTCTAACAAGAAAATATTGTTCAGATGTACCATTGTTTGATAACTAACCAGAGAAGGAAATAAAGTACACTGAAAGAGGAAAAAATGTTGAGAACAAATAAAGTCTAACTTACAACACTGGGAGGCAGCACTGGGCAATGGTTTCTTCTGGACTTCCTCCTGAAAGGAATACTAAAGGAGAACAAAAAAAAAGAAGGGACACAGACTGGTAAGAAAGCAGCTGGCAAATTTATGAAGCAGCTTTGAGAGTACAGCATGCCACAGGTAAGAGAAAACATCCCTGGTAACATCAAAGCATTAAATATTTTCCCTAATATCCATATTCAAATACACTCCCATAAAACTCCTCTTTTTTCATGCCAAAACCAGGTGTTAAAAAGTGCACATCTGGTTAAGGTGAGGTCTGCTTTACTACAAGCACAGGCTCTATTCTCAATTCTGAGACCTCAAATTAGACACCTAAAAGACCTGACTCTCCACACCACAATGACACTGCGACAGGGCGCTCAGAACTGAATATAAGCCCATTTATGGTTAAGACGCTCAAGCACAGCTTCAACAGCTCAAAACTCAGGTGGGCTCACAGCAACACTGCAGCAGGAGACTGAAGCAGTGAGATCATTAGTGGGCCTGGCAGGGCAGTAACACAATGTCTGCCCAGCACAAGCTCTCCTGTGATCCACTGCACAGCCAAAGTGAAGAATTTTTCATCTCATTTAGTATTGAATTAGAGGACAGAGACACTTCAATTAGCCAGCTTTGACTTTTTACAAAACTGTTTGTTACAGCATCAAAGCATTCCCTAGGGGAATGCCAGTGGTTTTATTTTGATATTCTCCTCTGTCTTGTATTACACAGAGATATGAGAAAATTAGGACAATTGAGCAAAATAATGAGAACAGTCTTTGCTAGGAAAACAAGGTCCAACGACAAAGGAAGTGGCAACCTCAGCAAGCTGGTGCTGCAATCTGTGCAGAACAGGTACACCAGACAGACTCTCCTTGGATTTGGTGAGGATTAATGACCAGTTCATTACATGGAAGGTGACAACCTGCAGACTTCCGATGTGGCTATCTTCCG